AGGGGGAAGGGAGGAGGTGAGGGGGAGGGAAGTTCTTAGTTGTGTTTTGAGTTGACTCAAAACACAGCAGCGATGGTGGGATCTGGCGTGGCGCGCGGAGCGATTAGCTGCGACGGGGAAGGAGGTGAGAATGAAGGGAGGAGGTGAGGAGGGGAAAGGGGTTGAGGGGGAGGGAAGGGCATGAAGGGGAGGGGAGGTGGTGAATGAGACGGAGGAGCAGAGGGAGAGGGGAGGTGCGGGAGAGGGGAAGAGAGGATGGGAAGAGGGAAGGGGGTGGGGAAGAGGGAAGGGGTACAAGGAAGATAGAAGTGGGAGGGTAGACAAGAGAAGGAACGCGAGAGTGTCATTTCCATTTCCATCCCCATCCCAAATTCATTCCCACCCCCCGCTGTTCCGTCTCCCCCTGTTCCTCTCCCCCCTGTTCCACCTCCCCCTGTTCCCCCCGCCCCCTGTTCCGCCTCCCCCTGTTCCCCCCGCCCCCTGTTCCGCCTCCCCCTGTTCCCCCCGCTCCCTGTTCCGCCTCCCCCTGTTCCCCTTTCCTCTCTGTTCCGCCTCCCCCTGTTCCCAACCCCCCTCTCCCCTGTTTCACCCCCCCCCCCCAGAGAGGCCCAGCAAAGCAAGTGGACGGCGCAGCATGGGCAACACGTTTTCGGCAGCTGGCAGCAGGGGGTGGTGCTGTGGGGAACGGTGCAACGGGGAATGGTGCGGTGGGGAGCGGTGCAGTGGGAGGAACAGCAGGCGCGCAGCAGGGGGGGAGTTCACCAGAGGAGATTGTGATAAGAGAGAACTATGGGAGGGAGGGCACGGAGCAACTGGCGTTACTGGCAGAGCAAGCAGGGCTGTACTTGTGAGTGATTGGGATTGGTGTGGGTGTGGCGTGGTCTAAACCTTCAACCCAAAACTTTAAACCCCAACCCGAAATCCACCTTTTTTTTAGAATTCTCAATAAACCCCAAACCCGAGATCCACTTTTTTAAAAGAATTCTCAATAAACCCCAATCCGAAATCCACTCTTTTTTTAGAATTCTCAATAAACCCCAAACCCGAGATCCACACATTCGACATGAACCTTGCTACCCATAGATTGCCAGAAATCTGCAAATTTTTGTCCCTTATTTAGCACTTGCAGCAAAAAAAATTCAATGGCACTGGGACTGTGGCAGTGGCCAGCAGGGTGGCTCTTCCATTTCGGGCTGGGAAAGAAACATTCTACCCGCCCTTTGCATCTCCTGCTCCTCATTGATCTTCATGCAGTCAGATGTAGGGGAACGGCACTGGGACTGCTGTTGAGTCGACTCAAAAGCGGGAACGGCACTGGGACGGTGGCAGTGGCCAGCAGGCTGGCTCTTCCAGGCTATTCAAGAGAAGAGAAGGAGACCCTTCTTACTGCTGTTGTCCCCTCCCCGTTCTCTGCTTGCGTTCTTGCAGTCAAACGTACGGGAAGGGCACTGGAACGGTAGCAGTGGCCAGCAGGGTGCCTCTTCCCAGCTACCGGGCTGATCTGGATGACAAGCACGGGCGGTCCGAGCGACAGGTGAGCTTCAGATTGACTCCATTCTTGATCGACTCTGCTTTCTTGCAGCAAGAGCTCTGCGACCAGCGAGTCCATTCAGTCAATTCACAATTCACAAGGCAAGGGCGTTGGGATTTTGGGATCGTAGCAGTGGCAAGCAGAGCAGCACGGTGACTCTTCCCAGCTACCGGGCTGGACGACAAGCATGGGCGGTCGGAGCGACAGATGAGCCGCTCGTTCCACTCAGATTGACTCACTCACTTTCAGATAGACTCCTCTTCGGATTGGCTCTGGGAGTTTGGGATCGTAGCAGTGGCAAGCAGAGCAGCACGGTGACTCTTCCCAGCTACCGGGCTGATCTGGAAGACAAGCATGGGCGGTCGGAGCGACAGATGAGCCGCTCGTTCCACTCAGATTGACTCACTCACTTTCAGATAGACTCCTCTTCGGATTGGCTCTGGGAGTTTGGGATCGTAGCAGTGGCAAGCAGAGCAGCACGGTGACTCTTCCCAGCTACTGGGCTGATCTGGACGACAAGCATGGGCGGTCGGAGCGACAGATGAGCCGCTCGTTCCACTCAGATTGACTCACTCACTTTCAGATAGACTCCTCTTCGGATTGGCTCTGGGAGTTTGGGATCGTAGCAGTGGCAAGCAGAGCAGCACGGTGACTCTTCCCAGCTACCGGGCTGATCTGGACGACAAGCATGGGCGGTCGGAGCGACCGATGAGCCGCTCGTTCCACTCAGATTGACTCACTCACTTTCAGATAGACTCCTCTTCGGATTGGCTCTGGGAGTTTGGGATCGTAGCAGTGGCAAGCAGAGCAGCACGGTGACTCTTCCCAGCTACTGGGCTGATCTGGACGACAAGCATGGGCGGTCGGAGCGACAGATGAGCCGCTCGTTCCACTCAGATTGACTCACTCACTTTCAGATAGACTCCTCTTCGGATTGGCTCTGGGAGTTTGGGATCGTAGCAGTGGCAAGCAGAGCAGCACGGTGACTCTTCCCAGCTACCGGGCTGATCTGGACGACAAGCATGGGCGGTCGGAGCGACAGATGAGCCGCTCGTTCCACTCAGATTGACTCACTCACTTTCAGATAGACTCCTCTTCGGATTGGCTCTGGGAGTTTGGGATCGTAGCAGTGGCAAGCAGAGCAGCGCGGTGACTCTTCCCAGCTACCGGGCTGATCTGGACGACAAGCATGGGCGGTCGGAGCGACAGATGAGCCGCTCGTTCCACTCAGATTGACTCACTCACTTTCAGATAGACTCCTCTTCGGATTGGCTCTGGGAGTTTGGGATCGTAGCAGTGGCAAGCAGAGCAGCACGGTGACTCTTCCCAGCTACTGGGCTGATCTGGACGACAAGCATGGGCGGTCGGAGCGACAGATGAGCCGCTCGTTCCACTCAGATTGACTCACTCACTTTCAGATAGACTCCTCTTCGGATTGGCTCTGGGAGTTTGGGATCGTAGCAGTGGCAAGCAGAGCAGCACGGTGACTCTTCCCAGCTACCGGGCTGATCTGGACGACAAGCATGGGCGGTCGGAGCGACCGATGAGCCGCTCGTTCCACTCAGATTGACTCACTCACTTTCAGATAGACTCCTCTTCGGATTGGCTCTGGGAGTTTGGGATCGTAGCAGTGGCAAGCAGAGCAGCACGGTGACTCTTCCCAGCTACCGGGCTGATCTGGACGACAAGCATGGGCGGTCGGAGCGACCGATGAGCCGCTCGTTCCACTCAGATTGACTCACTCACTTTCAGATAGACTCCTCTTCGGATTGGCTCTGGGAGTTTGGGATCGTAGCAGTGGCAAGCAGAGCAGCACGGTGACTCTTCCCAGCTACTGGGCTGATCTGGACGACAAGCATGGGCGGTCAGAGCGACAGATGAGCCGCTCGTTCCACTCAGATTGACTCACTCACTTTCAGATAGACTCCTCTTCGGATTGGCTCTGGGAGTTTCGGACCGTAGCAGTGGCCAGCAGGGTGCCTTTCCTTCTATGTTGACTTTTGAGTCGACTCAAAAGTCAACTCGGGATCGTAGCAGTGGCCAGCAGGGTGCCTTTCCTTCTCCTCCTTCTCTTTCCCCATCCTCTCACCCCACCCTTTCCCTCCGCTTCCCCAACTCCCCCCCCACTCACTCCCTTTGTTCATTTAATTCAACTAAAGCCATGAACATGCCACTATCATCCCCTCCACGCCTCCTTTGATCTCCCTTCCTCTCTCATCCCCTCCCCTCACATAACGCACAAATGACTGCCGTCATGTTTCAAGCGTCCTCGTCCCGCCTTCCTCCCTGCCTCCCTTCCCGTCCCTTCCCCTCTCAAACAAACCCCCTCATCCCTCCCATTCTCCTGCAGGTCACCGTCTCATCTGATCTCCATCAACACGTCTCTACCCTCCTTGCCTCATTCCTGCGCTGTTTGGCCTTTTCTCCTATCGGTTTCGCTCCCTCTCCGCCCTCATCCCTCCCATTCTCCTGCAGATCACCGTCTCATCTGACCTCCATCAACACGTTTCAAGCCTCCTCGCCCCTTCCTCCTCCTCCTCCGCCCCCCCTGGATCAACCACACCAGCAGCAGCAGCAGCAGCGCCATCAGCAGCAGCAGGGGCACAGGGAACGGGTCTCCTCTCAATGCCTGCGGTGTCGTCCCAGGCCTCTGCAGCAGCTGAATCAGCAGCAGCACATGCGCTTAGAGTGCAGAGTGACGCGTTGAGGGCCGAACAAAACCGGCGCAAGGTGAGGTCCTCTGCAACCCTTCGTGGGTTCAAATTAAAGGTTTGCACAGGCCTTTCCAACCCCTTTGACCTCCCTGCAGCGCAAGCTATGTGGCACCTCATGCCATGTGGCACCGCATGCCATGTGGCACCGCATGCCATGTGGCACTGCATGCCATGTGGCACCTCATGCCATGTGGCACCGCATGCCATGTGGCACCGCATGCCATGTGGCACCGCATGCCATGTGGCACCACATGCCATGTGGCACCGCATGCCATGTGGCACCGCATGCCATGTGGCACCGCATGCCATGTGGCACCTCATGCCATGTGGCACCTCATGCCGTGTGGCACCTCCCCTCCCATATTGAATCAGCGACAACAATTAGCCTATAAGGAGAGGGAGGAGCTTCTGTTGGTGCACCCAACAATCCTTTTCAAACATCTCTATCACACACAATTCACTCCCACCCTTCCCGCCCCCACCTCCTCCCTATCCTCCAGTCCTCCCCAGCAGTGCAGGCCATGACGGTTCAGAGGAGCTGCTGCTGCTGCTGCTGCAATGAACAATCCGCATCAAGCTTCAATATCAAAGACTTTTGAGTCGACTCAAAAGTCCACTCAGCGGGCTGCTGCTGCTGCTGCTGCTGCTGCAATGAACAATCCGCATCAAGCTTCTCTATCAAACACCACTCTTACCATTTTCCTTCTTTCTGTGTCCCTCCCCACCACCAGTCCTCTCCAGCAGTACGGGCAATGATGTCTCAGAGGCAACGCCTACCGGTCTTCAAGCAGCGGGAGGAGCTGCTGCGAGCTGTGCAGCAGAGCCAGGTGATTGCAGCAGAGCCAGGTGATTGCAACAGAGCCAGGTGATTGCAACAGAGCCAGGTGATTTTAGCAGAGCCAGGTGATTGCAGCAGCGCCAGGTGATTGCAGCAGCGACTGGTTAAGATGATTGCGTCAGTATGTTCTACAAAAGGAGGTGAATGCAAACGAATCAGGTGATTGTAAACAGTGCCAGGCTGATATAACAGATTCAGGTGAGTGCAACAGAACATCCGCTTCCATGGCAGAGATTTGATCTGCCCTTATCTGGCCCAGATGCTTGCGATATCCTTCTTACCTTGTCCGGTTGCCCTTGATGTGACACTTTCCCTCTTCCTGATGTCCCCATGGTGTCAGACGATACAGGGTGTGGGTTCAGGGTTTAGGGTGTGTTCAGGTACACCTCCGTGTGTTGCCCTCCCCTCCTCCCTCACTCCGTCCCGTCCCCTTCGGTGCCAGTGGTGTCAGGGAAGACGGGCTGTGGCAGGACCACCCAGCTCCCGCAGCGAGATAGAGGCAAGAAGGGGAGGAGCACAGACCTTCATCATTTGCACTCAGCCCCGGCGAATTTCAGCGACGTGGTGGCATTTTTGAGAATTCTAAAAAATCACTCACGAGGGTAGCATAGGCCTGCCCATTGAGTCGACTCAAAATTCTTCTCAAAAATCAGTCACGAGGGTGGCATAGGCTTGCGCATTCATGCGTTCAGCCCATTCATGCGTTCTACGGTCTACCCCACTGTTCGCATTTTCCCAGGTGCTTGTGGTGTCGGGAGAAACTGGCTGTGGGAAGACCACCCAGTTACCCCAATTCATCCTGAAGAGAGAGAGAGGCAGAGGCGCACAGACGATGATCATCTGCACCCAGCCCCGGCGGATATCCACCACGTCGGTGGCAGCAAGAGTGGCAGCAGTCAGCCCACCCGCTCAAACATGCAGTGTTTAACCACCCCCATTCCTCCTTTCCGCAGGTCCTTGTGGTTTCAGGCGAGACAGGCTGTGGCAAAACCACCCAGCTCCCGCAATTCATTCTGGAGAGTGAGATAGAAGCAGGCAGGGGCTCACAGACCATGATCATCTGCACCCAGCCCCGGCGGATATCCGCCACGTCGGTGGCGGCGAGGGTGGCGGCGGAGAGAGGCGAGGAGGTGGGGGGCAGCGTGGGGTATCAGATCCGGATGGAGAGCAGACGAGGGGCGAGTACGAGGCTGCTGTTCTGCACGACTGGGGTGCTGCTGAGACGACTGGTGAGTGGTGGTGGGGATAGTGGTGAGTGAGTGCATGGGTTGGGGTGAACCTAGTATTCACCAGAAGCGAGGAGGTGGGGGGCAGCGTGGGGTATCAGATCAGGATAGAGAGCAGACGAGGGCCGAATACGAGGCTGCTGTTCTGCACTACTGGGGTGCTGCTGAGACGACTGGTGAGTGGTTTGTATGGTAAAGGCTGGCTAAAAGATGGATAGGGGTTGAAGCCTGGAAGCAGAGGAGGTGGGGGGCAGCGTGGGGTATCAGATCCGGATGGAGAGCTGGCGCGGGCCCAATACGAGGCTGCTGTTTTGCACTACTGGCGTGCTGCTGAGACAACTGTTGGGTGTGGGGTGAATACATGGGTTGGGGTTGAACACCCGGCTGCTGTTTCGCACCACTGGAGTGCTGCTGAGACGACTGGTGAGTGTGGGGTGGAGAGTGGTGAGTGTGGGGTGGAGAGTGGTGAGTGTGGGGTGGAGAGTGGTGAGTGCGCGGTGGAGAGTGGTGAGTGGGTGGTGAGTGCCGGATGGGGTGGGTGACAGGTGAATGTGAGTGAGGTGATTGTAAGGTGAGTGTGTGGGTGGGGTGGAGACTGGTTTATGTTGGATGCGCTGGTTTGTTTCTGATGCATGAACCAACACTTGTCTCATTCTTTGAGAGACCTGCGACGTGCTACCCCATGTGTTGTGTTGCCCCATCTGAAAAAAGGAGTGTTTTGAGAAACCACGTCTCACGTCTCAAAACACTCCTTTTTTCACGAGACGTCTCAAAACACTCCTTTTTTCACGAGACGTCTCAAAACACTCCTTTTTTCACGTGCTACCCCATGTGTTGATCCATCCATCTGCTGCCCTGTTCGCTCGCTGTCCTATATACTGCCACTGTATCATGCTCTCCCCCTTCCCACACACACAGGTGCAACAGCCAGTCCTAGCTGGGGTTTCGCATGTGATGGTGGACGAGATTCACGAGCGAGGGATGAATGAAGACTTCCTCCTCATCATCCTCAGGGATCTGCTGCCCGCCCTGCTTGTCTCTCCTCTCCTCCCCATCCATTCAGGTGCAACAACCAGACCTAGCTGGCGTCTCCCACGTGATGGTGGACGAGATACACGAGAGGGGAATGAACGAGGACTTTCTCCTCATCATCTTGAGGGACCTGCTGCCGCGCCGCCCCGACTTGCGCCTCGTGCTCATGAGCGCCACCATCAATGCGGAATTGTTTTCGGAGTACTTCAACAAAGCACCGATGGCACACATTCCGGTGAGTTTGATTGGTGTCTCTCTGTCACTCTTTGCTGCCTCGTGCTCATGAGCGCCACCATCAACACGGAGCTGTTCTCGGAGTACTTCAATAAAGCACCGATGGTGCACATTCCTGTGAGTCTTTAGAATTCGCAAAAGTCATTCCGGTGAGTTTGAGTGGGATGTTCGAACACGTATGATGTCATTCATGTGTGCTTGCTTTGTGCTCATGAGCGCTACAATCCGTGCAGAGCTGTTCTCGGAGTATTTCAGTACGGCACGGATGGCACACATCCCTGTGAGTTTGATTGGTGTTTATCTGTCACTCTTTGCTGCCTCGTGCTCATGAGCGCCACGATCAATGCAGAGCTGTTCTCAGCGTACTTCAATTAAGCTCCCATGGCGCACATCCCGGTGAGTGGCGCATGGTGTTGCCATCGCACTTGTTCCGCCCCGACCTGCGTCTCGTGCTCACCTCGTGCTCACCTTGTGCTCACCTCGTGCTCACCTTGTGCTCACCTCGTGCTCACCTTGTGCTCACCTCGTGCTCACCTTGTGCTCACCTCGTGCTCACCTTGTGCTCACCTTGTGCTCACCTTGTGCTCACCTTGTGCTCACCTTGTGCTCACCTCGTGCTCACCTTGTGCTCACCTCGTGCTCACCTTGTGCTCACCTCGTGCTCACCTTGTGCTCACCTTGTGCTCACCTTGTGCTCACCTTGTGCTCACCTCGTGTTCACCTTGTGCTCACCTTGTGCTCACCTTGTGCTCACCTTGTGCTCACCTCGTGCTCACCTTGTCCTCACCTTGTGCTCACCTTGTGCTCACCTCGTGCTCACCTCGTGCTCACCTCGTGCTCATGAGCACCACCATCAACACGGAGCTCTTCTCCGAGTATTTCAATAAAGCTGCCATGGCGCATATTCCTGTGAGTGAGTGCTGTGGTGATGCCTGTGGGCCGTCTGTGTGTGAGTGTGAGCTTGGTTGGTGCCTGTGTTGTTGCCGTCACACTCGTTCCGCCCCGACCTGTGTCTCGTGCTCACCTTGTGCTCATGAGCACAACCTTCAACGCGGAGCTGTGCTCAGAATACTTCAGTAAGGCCCCCATGGCACATATTCCGGTGAGTGAGTGGTGTGTGTGTGTGTGCGTGTGTGTGTGTGTGTGTGTGTGTGCGTGTGTGTGTGTGTGTGTGAGTGTGTGTGTGTGAGTGTGAGTGTGTGTGTGTGTGTGAGTGTGAGTGTGTGTGCGTGTGAGTGTGTGTCTGTGTGAGTGTGTGAGTGTGTGTGTGTATGTGAGTGTGTGTGTATGTGAGTGTGTGTGTGTGTGTGAGTGTGTGTGTGTATTTCCACGAGGCCCCCATGGCACATATTTCGGTGAGTTTCACTGCTATCCGTGGTCTGAGTTCAGAGGTCTTTTCAAAGCTTCACTCCCCTCACGCCACCACCTCTCTCTTCCCCTCGTTCTCCACACTTGTTCTTCTATTTTTTACTGGGTTTCACACACCCCGTGCAGCAATTATTCCTAGAGCACGTGTTGGAGCGCACTCGCATTCCCACCCGGGACCACGTCTTGTTGCCTTGCCACCATGCCTCTGCTCCTCCTCCCCTTGTTCCCCCACTTCCCTCACAGGGTTTCACACACCCGGTGCAGAAATTATTCCTAGAGCACGTGTTGGACCATTCCCATCAGGGACCAGAGCCAACAGGGAGGAGAAGGGGGGTGGTTCTCTCGCGTACCCATCTGCTCATGCCTCGTCACCTCACCTCCTCCTCTACCCCATCCTGCTGCTACCACCTCTCTCCTCCCCCCTTCCCCTTGAATTTACAGGGCTTCACGCATCCAGTGCAACAGCTGTTCCTAGAGCACGTGTTGGAGTGCGCACGCATTCCCATCAGGGACCAGGGCCGGCAGGGGAGGCGATTAGTATGTGCACGTGCAATCTCATTCCTTGGCACTGCCTTCCTCCTCTTCTGCCCCATCACCTTTCTTCCCGGTCCCTTATCCTTGCACTCCCAGGGTTTCACCCACCCAGTGCAACAGCTGTTCCTAGAGCACGTGTTGGAGCGCACGCGCATTCCCATCCGGGACCAGGGCCAGCAGGGAGGAGGAGGGTGGTTCTCAAGAGGAGGAGGAGGGGGAGGGCGGGGGTATGGGCGGGGGAGACGAGAGAGGAGTGCGAGTGTGGCGAAGAAAGACCCGATCTCAGAGGCATGGGAGGTGAGGTATAGGTGGTATGGGGAGTTGTGTTGCAAGTGGGCTATGTGAAGTGCAGGGCGGTGGTACGGGAGGGGGAGGCTGGAGAGGAGAAGTGAGAGGAGTGCAAGTGTGGCTAAGAAAGAACAGATCTCAGAAGTTTGGGAGGTGAGAATAGTAATAACTGGGGGTCTGGGAGGTGGAAGGAAGGGAGGAAGGAAAGGGGTATGGAAGGGGGAGACGGGAGAGGAGTGCAAGTGTGGCAAAGAAGGACCCGATTTCAGAAGCCTGGGAGGTGCGAATGAATGAAAAATGGGAGGTTTTAGTTCAAGTAGACGTGTGCTCGCACTGCTCTGCACTCACACTTGCAATACCACCCCTCTCCACTCCACCCTCCACACACGCGCGCACTTCTCTGCCTTCACCCGGTTCACCCAGGACTCTTGAGTCGACTCAAAAGCTACCTAAGGCTCTCTCGCCAATCTCTCAGCAGACCAGCTAGGTCACATTGACCTAGTGGCATCTCTGTGCCTGAACCCCTCTCCACCCTTCTCCACCCCTCTCCACCCCATATACATGTTGGTTCTGGCAGGATGTGGACATATGGTCGCACTACTCTGCCTTCTCCCGACCCACCCAAGAATCCCTTTCCAACTTCTCACCAGACAAGCTAGACATTGATCTAGTGGCATCAGTCGTGGAGCATATATGCCGAAACGAGGCTGAGGGGGCGGTGCTGGTCTTTTTGACTGGCTGGGACGAGATTTCGAAGCTGCTGGAGGCTCTCAAGACGATGCCTGTCGTCGGGCAGTCGTCGAAAGTTTTGCTCCTGCCCCTGCATGGGTCGATGCCGACGATTCATCAGAAGGAGATTTTCAACCGCCCGCCCCCTGGAGTCAGGTGGGTTTTTGTATTACGCAACCATGCATATAGCATTCAATAATTAACATATGTGCTGGGGCTTTCTTGTTCTTTCATTTCCGTTCTGCTTCTTTTTCTCCAGGAAAGTAGTCCTAGCGACCAACATAGCGGAGACGAGCATCACAATCGACGACGTCGTATTTGTGGTGGACCGCGGAAAGGCCACTTCCTACTCATCATCTCTGCTTCTCATCTTCTGTTCCCTTCTGCTCTTCTCAGAAAGGTGGTTCTGGCGACCAACATAGCGGAGACCAGCATCACAATCGACGGCGACGTCTCTTATCCTCCTCGCCCCTTCACCAATTCTACATATTTCTTCTTTCTTCATTTCTCGTTTCTCTTTTCCCTCTCTCCAGAAAGGTGGTCCTGGCGACCAACATAGCAGAGACGAGCATCACACAATCGACGACGTCGTTTTCGTGGTCGACTGTGGAAAGGCCAAGGAAACTTCCTACGACGCTCTAAACAAGCTGGCCTGCCTGCTCCCCTCCTGGATCTCCAAAGCCTCGGCGCACCAGAGGAGGGGGCGGGCGGGGCGGGGCAACCAACGTAGCAGAAACCAGCACCCACTCCTTTTACCCTCCCCTGTTCTCTGACCCTTCCTCTCCTCTGTTGCTTCCCACCTTCTGCCCCTTCGCTCCCCTCTTTTCAGAAAGGTGGTTCTGGCGACCAACATAGCGGAGACCAGTATCACCATTGACGACGTCGTTTTCGTAGTGGACTGCGGAAAGGCCAAGGAAACTTCCTATGACGCTCTGAACAAGCTGGCCTGCCTGCTCCCCTCCTGGATTTCCAAAGCCTCGGCGCACCAGAGGAGGGGGCGGGCGGGGCGCGTGCAGCCGGGAATTTGTTTCCACCTCTACCCGAAGACGGTTTATGATTCGCTGCTGGAGTTTCAGCTGCCCGAGATTCTGAGGACGCCGCTCCAGGAGCTGTGCTTGCAGATCAAGCATCTTGGGTTGGGGCACGTGCAGTCGTTCCTCTCTAAAGCAATGCAGCCACCGGAACCGCTGGCTGTAAGTGCAGGGGTTGCTTGTTGGTTTGCTTTGCGAGGGTCCCTAGATTCTGAGGACGCCCCTGCAGGAGCTGTGCTTGCAGATCAAGCACCTTGGGTTGGGACACGTGCAGGCGTTTCTGTCTAAACCCATGCAGCCACCGGAACCGCTGGCAGTAAGTTCGAGGTGAGGCATCCACGCTGGTATGACAGTCCTTCAGCCTGGCAGCAAGTGGCAGGCATGAGCTGTACTTGCAGATCAAGCACCTGGGGCTGGGGCACGTGCAGTCGTTCCTCTCTAAAGCCATGCAGCCACCAGAACCGCTGGCAGTAGGTGGGGTGGGAGGGGGGGATACAGGTTGGTGTGAGGGTCCCTAGATCCTGAGGACGCCCCTGCAGGAGCTGTGCTTGCAGATCAAGCACCTTGGGTTGGGACACGTGCAGGCGTTTCTGTCTAAACCCATGCAGCCACCGGAACCGCTGGCAGTAAGTTCGAGGTGAGGCATCCACGCTGGTATGACAGTCCTTCAGCCTGGCAGCAAGTGGCAGGCATGAGCTGTACTTGCAGATCAAGCACCTGGGGCTGGGGCACGTGCAGTCGTTCCTCTCTAAAGCCATGCAGCCACCAGAACCGCTGGCAGTAGGTGGGGTGGGAGGGGGGGATACAGGTTGGTGTGAGGGTCCCTAGATCCTGAGGACGCCCCTGCAGGAGCTGTGCTTGCAGATCAAGCACCTTGGGTTGGGGCATGTGCAGTCGTTTCTGTCCAAGGCTATGCAGGCACCAGAAGCACTTGCAGTAAGTGTGGAAGGTGCATACATGCTGGTTGGTGTGACCCCGGCAGTGAGTGACAGAGAGCCGTGTGAGCACATCAAGCACCTTGGTTTGGGACATGCGCAGTTTTTTTTAGAATTCTAAAAAAAAACACGCAGTCGTTTTTGTCTGAGGTCGTGCGGCCACCAGAGCACCTGGCTGGCTGGCAGTGAGTATTTTTGAGGCACCTCAAGGTGACTTTTGAGTCGACTCAAAAGTCACCCAGAGCACCTGGCTGGCTGGCAGTGAGTATTTTTGAGGCACCTCAAAAGTCGTGCGGCCACCAGAGCACCTGGCTGGCAGTGAGTGGGGTGGGGTGGGGTGGGGGGGAGGGATACATGTCGGTGGATGGGAGCACTGCCTCTGTTTCTTCCTCCTGCTTTCACTATCCAGTTTTCTCTCTCTGTGCTCCCCGCACCCATCCTTTCAGGTGCAAAACGCGGTGCAGCTTCTGGAAACCATTGGAGCATTCACCCCCGAGGAGCAACTCACCTCCCTGGGGTGCCACCTGGCCGCCATTCCCGTGGAGCCCCGCATTGGAAAGGTGGGTCTCGTTGGATGAGGACACAGAGTCTCACCTCCCTCAGTTGCCACCTTCCTCCATCGCCACCTCCCTGAGGTGCCACCTGGCTGCCATTCCCGTGGAGCCCCGCATTGGAAAGGTGGGTCCTGTTTCTTTCCCTGTACCTGAGGTGCCACCTCCTTCTGGTAACACCTCCCTCGGATGCCACCTGACCGCCATTCCCGTGGAGCCAAGCATTGGGAAGGTGGGTTGCGCCCTGCTTTTTCGGTGAGCTTCGTGTTGGAGTTGTCGAACGCAGACAGGTGAGCTTTGTGTTGGAGTTGTCGAACGCAGACAGGTGAGCTTCGTGTTGGAAAAGTGGGCGCAGCAAGGCCTGGCTGTCCAAGTGACGCTGTTTCTACGAGTATGTGACGTAATTTCGTTTCCTTCTTTTGGTCGCCAACAGGAACCCTGCGTTACGTAAGGGTGGATTTCAAAGGTGGGACGAGTGGTTGCCTTCCCAGCCCTCACCATTGCTGCCCCCTATCCATGCTCTGCTCTGCTCTGCTTCCTTAAATCCCTCCCTACCAACCACCCCCCCACCCCCCCCAGATGCTCATATTCGGGGCCATCTACAACTGCCGAGTCTGTTTTTTTAAGAATTCTCATTTTTTTTTAAAGAATTCTCAAAAACACATTCCCCCCAGATGCTCATATTCGGGGCCACCTACAACTGCCTCGCGCCAGCGCTCACCATCGCTGCATCCCTGGTGTGGGAGGGGAGGGGAAGGGTATATGTCCCATAGTCCCTCCCTTCGTGCTGCCTTTCCCCCTCCCCTGAACCCCCCCATCCCCCCAGATGCTCATATTCGGGGCCATATTCAACTGCCTCGCACCAGCCCTCACCATCGCAGCCTCTCTCGCCTGCCTTTGAGTTCTGCCATCGCATTCCATGCCCCTCCCTCTCCGCCCCGCCCGCCATGCCCCCATCCCCCCAGATGCTCATATTTTCGGGGCCATATTCAACTGCCTCACGTCAGCCCTCACCATCGCAGCCTCTCTCGCCTGCCCTTGAGTTCTGCCATCGCAGTCCATGCCCCTCCCTCCTCTCCGCCCCGCCGTTGCAGGGAGTTTTTGAGAATTCTCAAAAACTCCATCGCTGCATCCCTGGCCTGCCTTTGAGTCCTGCCATCGCAGTCCATGCCCCTCCCTCCTCTCCGCCCCGCCCGCCATGCCCCCATCCCCTCAGATGCTCATATTCGGGGCCATATTCAACTGCCTCGCGCCAGCCCTCACCATCGCTGCCTCCCTGGCATACCGGGACCCCTTCGTCCTGCCACTTGACAAGAAGGAGATGGCGGATGCAGCCAAGAAAAAGTTCTCAAAGGATTCGAGAAGGTGAGCTGGGTTGGGGTGCGGTGTGGTTGGGTGGGGTTGGGTGGGGTGGGGTGGGGTGCTTTTCACCATCGCTGCCTCTCTGGCCTACCGCGACCCCTTCGTCCTTCCACTTGACAAGGAGTTTTCAAAGGATTCGCATACCGGGACCCCTTCGTCCTTCCACTTGACAAGAAGGAGTTTTCAAAGGATTCGCATACCGGGACCCCTTCGTCCTTCCACTTGACAAGGAGGAGTTTTCAAAGGATTTGCATACCGCGACCTCTTCGTTCTGCCACTTGACAAGAAGGAGATGGCAGATGCAGCCAAGAAGGAGTTCGCCAAGGACTCAAGAAGGTGAGCTGGGGTGGGGAGAGGTGAGCTGGGGTGGAGTGGGGTGGGGTGAGGTGGGGCGCTAATCACCATCGCTGCCTCTCTGGCCTACCGGGACCCCTTTGTCCTCCCGTTCGACAAGAAGGAGCTGGCAGATGCAGCCAAGAAGGAATTCGCCAAGGTCTCTAGGAGGCGAGCTGGGGTGGGGTGGGGTGCGATGGGGTGCGGTGGGGTGGGGTGGGGTGGGGTGGGGTGCGATGGGGTGCGGTGGGGTGGGGTGGGGTGAGGTGGGGTGGGGTGGGGTGGGGTGGGGTGGGATGGGATGCAGTGGGGGGGTGCTTTTCACCATCGCTGCCTCTCTGGCCTACCGGGACCCCTTCATTCTGCCCCTTGACAAGAAAGAGATGGCAGATGCAGCCAAGAAGGAGTTCTCAAAGGACTCGAGGAGGTGAGCTGGGTTCAGTGGGGTGCGATGGGGTGCGGTGGGGTGCGATGGGGTGCGTAGGGGTGCGATGGGGTGCGATGGGGTGCGATGGGCAGTGAACCCCTTTGTGCTGCCACTCGACAAGAAGGAGTTCTCACAGGACTCTAGGCCGACCTAGAGATGGGGATTGCGACGGCCTAGGACTCTAGGAGGTATGTGGGTTGTCTCTAGGCCATCGCAATCCCCATCCCTCACCAAGAAGGAACTTGCTAAGGTCTCTAGGAGGTGAGCTCACTTTATCTCGAATGGCCCTTGTATTGATTGATGGTTGGTACACGGGAGAATGCAAACACAAGCATATCAAACGAGGCCCTAACTAGCACCTATCCTCTAGAAGGTCAGCTCACTTTATCTCTGTCTCCAGACTATCCCACCCCCCCATCTCCCATACCCCCTTATCCCACCCCCCCATCTCTCATACCCCCTTATGCCACCCCCCCATCTCCCATACCCCCTTATGCCACCCCCCCATCTCCCATACCCCCTTATGCCACCCCCCCATCTCCCATACCCCCTTATGCCACCCCCCTCTCTCCCCTATCCTCTCTGTTCTCCATGCCCTCCCGCTTTCCCCCCCCACCCCCCCCTCCACCTTCCCAGCGACCACATAGCTCTGCTCAACGCGTCTAAGGGGTGGGTGGCGAGCGGCCAAGATGCATGCAAGGCCAGGAGCGCAATCATTGCTGGGATAACTTGCTCTCCCATTCCCTCCCCCCTCAGCTGTGCCCTTCCTCCCCAGCGACCACATAGCTCTGCTCAACGCGTTTGAAGGGTGGGTAGCGGCCAAGATGCATGCAAGGCCAGGAGCGCAATTGTTGCTGGGATAACTTGCTCTCCGCTCCCCTTCCATCCCCTCCTCCCTCATTTCCTCCTCTCTCATTTCTTTCTCTCTCATCCCCACCTACCAGTGACCATATAGCTCTGCTCAATGCATTTGAGGGGTGGGTGGGTAGCGGCCAAGATGCATGCAAGGCCAGGAGCGCAACTTCTGCTGGGATAACTTCTCTGCTTTCCTTCCATTTTCTCCTCTCGCATTTCCTCCCATCCCCACCTCCACCCCCCTCCCCCACCACCCTCCAGCGACCACATCGCACTGCTGAACGCGTTTGAAGGGTGGAGAGCGGCCAAGATGCAAGGGCAGGAGCGCAATTATTGCTGGGATAACTTCCTCTCTGCTCCGGTGCTGCAGATGGTATCAGACATGCGAGGGCAGTTCCTGCAGCTGCTCAGTGATATCGGCTTCTACGACCCAAGATTGGGGCTCAATGTGAGTGCGTTGCCCTCAATGTGTGCTACGAGGGTTGCACCGACAGTTCGTTCATGGGGCCGGTGCTGCAGATGGTATCAGACATGCGAGGGCAGTTCCTGCAACTGCTGAGTGACATCGGGTTCTATGACCCGAGACTGGGGCTCCATGTGAGTGCCCTGTGCTCACAGTGAGTGATGAGGCTGGCATATGCATATGCATGGGTGCGAGTGTGAGGAGCACCGGTGCTGCAGTGCAGATGGTGGCAGGCGGACATGCGAGGGCAGTTCCTGCAGCTGCTGAGTGACATCGGGTTCTATGACCCGAGACTGGGGCTCCATGTGAGTGCCCTGTGCTCACAGTGAGTGATGAGGCTGGCATATGCATATGCATGGGTGCGAGTGTGAGGAGCACCGGTGCTGCAGTGCAGATGGTGGCAGGCGGACATGCGAGGGCAGTTCCTGCAGCTGCTGAGTGACATCGGGTTCTATGACCCGAGACTGGGGCTCCATGTGAGTGCCCTGTGCTCACAGTGAGTGATGAGGCTGGCATATGCATATGCATGGGTGCGAGTGTGAGGAGCACCGGTGCTGCAGTGCAGATGGTGGCGGGCGGACATGCGAGGGCAGTTCCTGCAGCTGCTGAGTGGCATCGGGTTCTATGACCCGAGACTGGGGCTCCATGTGAGTGCCCTGTGCTCACAGTGAGTGATGAGGCTGGCATATGCATATGCATGGGTGCGAGTGTGAGGAGCACCGGTGCTGCAGTGCAGATGGTGGCGGGTGGACATGCGAGGGCAGTTCCTGCAGCTGCTGAGTGGCATCGGGTTCTATGACCCGAGACTGGGGCTCCATGTGAGTGCCCTGTGCTCACAGTGAGTGATGAGGCTGGCATATGCATATGCATGGGTGCGAGTGCGAGGAGCACCGGTGCTGCAGTGCAGATGGTGGCGGGCGGACATGCGAGGGCAGTTCCTGCAGCTGCTGAGTGACATCGGGTTCTATGACCCGAGACTGGGGCTCCATGTGAGTGCCCTGTGCTCACAGTGAGTGATGAGGCTGGCATATGCATATGCATGGGTGCGAGTGTGAGGAGCACCGGTGCTGCAGTGCAGATGGTGGCGGGCGGACATGCGAGGGCAGTTCCTGCAGCTGCTGAGTGACATCGGGTTCTATGACCCGAGACTGGGGCTCCATGTGAGTGCCCTGTGCTCACAGTGAGTGATGAGGCTGGCATATGCATATGCATGGGTGCGAGTGTGAGGAGCACCGGTGCTGCAGTGCAGATGGTGGCAGGCGGACATGCGAGGGCAGTTCCTGCAGCTGCTGAGTGACATCGGGTTCTATGACCCGAGACTGGGGCTCCATGTGAGTGCCCTGTGCTCACAGTGAGTGATGAGGCTGGCATATGCATATGCATGGGTGCGAGTGTGAGGAGCACCGGTGCTGCAGTGCAGATGGTGGCGGGCGGACATGCGAGGGCAGTTCCTGCAGCTGCTGAGTGACATCGGGTTCTATGACCCGAGACTGGGGCTCCATGTGAGTGCCCTGTGCTCACAGTGAGTGATGAGGCTGGCATATGCATATGCATGGGTGCGAGTGCGAGGAGCACCGGTGCTGCAGTGCAGATGGTGGCAGGCGGACATGCGAGGGCAGTTCCTGCAGCTGCTGAGTGACATCGGGTTCTATGACCCGAGACTGGGGCTCCATGTGAGTGCCCTGTGCTCACAGTGAGTGATGAGGCTGGCATATGCATATGCATGGGTGCGAGTGTGAGGAGCACCGGTGCTGCAGTGCAGATGGTGGCGGGTGGACATGCGAGGGCAGTTCCTGCAGCTGCTGAGTGACATCGGGTTCTATGACCCGAGACTGGGGCTCCATGTGAGTGCCCTGTGCTCACAGTGAGTGATGAGGCTGGCATATGCATATGCATGGGTGCGAGTGCGAGGAGCACCGGTGCTGCAGTGCAGATGGTGGCGGGCGGACATGCGAGGGCAGTTCCTGCAGCTGCTGAGTGACATCGGGTTCTATGACCCGAGACTGGGGCTCCATGTGAGTGCCCTGTGCTCACAGTGAGTGATGAGGCTGGCATATGCATATGCATGGGTGCGAGTGCGAGGAGCACTGGTGCTGCAGTGCAGATGGTGGCGGGCGGACATGCGAGGGCAGTTCCTGCAGCTGCTGAGTGACATCGGGTTCTATGACCCGAGACTGGGGCTCCATGTGAGTGCCCTGTGCTCACAGTGAGTGATGAGGCTGGCATATGCATATGCATGGGTGCGAGTGCGAGGAGCAGCGGTGCTGCAGTGCAGATGGTGGCGGGCGGGCATGCGAGGGCAGTTCCTGCAGCTACTGAGTGACATTGGTTTCTATGACCCGAGGCTGGGGCTCAATGTGAGTGCGTTGCCTTTAATGCCAGTCTCGCACTGAATGTCAGCGAGGGTTGCACACTCAGGTGACCCCATTTACTCCCATTTGAACCCCTGTCGACCCCTGTTGACCCCCATTTAACCCCCGCAGGAGTACAGCCAGCTGGCATCGGACCAAGAAATGCTCTCCCTACTGTCTCAACCCATTGGGTTAAACTCCCTCCCATGTAACCCTTTGACCCTTTTTCTTTCCATCAGGAGTACAGCCAGCTTGCATCGGACCAAGAAATGCTCTCCGCTGTGATCTGTGCGGGCCTCTACCCCTCTGTTGCTCAGGTGAGGGTCACTGTTGCTCAGGTGAGGGTCAGGTGAGAGTCTCTGTTGCTCAGGTGAGGGTCAGTGTTGCTCAGTTGAGGGTATCTGTTTCTCAGCTGAGGTCTCTCTGTTGCTCAGGCGAGGGTCTCTATTGCTCAGGTTAGGGTCTCTGTTGCTCAGGTGAGGTCTCTTTGTTGCTCAGGTGAGGTCTCTCTGTTGCTCAGGTGAGGTCGCTCTGTTGCTCAGGTGAGGTCTCTCTGTTGCTCAGGCGAGGGTCTCTATTGCTCAGGTTAGGGTCTCTGTTGCTCAGGTGAGGTCTCTTTGTTGCTCAGGTGAGGTCTCTCTGTTGCTCAGGTGAGGTCGCTCTGTTGCTCAGGTGAGGTCTCTCTGTTGCTCAGGCGAGGGTCTCTATTGCTCAGGTTAGGGTCTCTGTTGCTCAGGTGAGGTCTCTTTGTTGCTCAGGTGAGGTCGCTCTGTTGCTCAGGTGAGGTCTCTCTGTTGCTCAGGCGAGGGTCTCTATTGCTCAGGTTAAGGGTCTCTGTTTCTCATGTGCTAGCCTCAACCAGTCGTTTCCTCCTTCGCCCAATTCCAGATTCACCTTCTGTTGCAACCGATTTGTCTTCTTCACAAAGTGCGATGGGTGCATGCAGCTAGATGCACCCTTCCCCAGACAAAACCTTTATATCCTCCTTGGTAGCATCCATATTCATTTCATTCTCTCTCCTCCACTTCTGTCCTTCACAGATTCGGCGGCAGGGCAAGCGGTTTGTGTTCTTCACCAAGGATGACGGGCGGGGGGAGATGCACCCTTCCTCAGTCAACGCCTCCTTGATAACACCCACTAGTTATCTCCTTTTCCCTCCCACTCTCTCCCCCTTTCAGATTCGCCGGCAGGGCAAGCGGTTTGTGTTCTTCACCAAAGATGACGGGCGGGTGGAGATGCACCCTTCCTCAGTCAACGCCTCCTCAGTAGCAACCGGATTTATCCCCTTCTCTCCCTGTCTTCTCTCTCTCTCTCACAGATTCGGCGGCAGGGCAAGCGGTTTGTGTTCTTCACAGAGGACGATGGGAAGGTGGAGATGCACCCTTCCTCAGATGAAGCCTTTCCTGTGTAACACCCATACTTCTCCCTCCCTATTGTATCTCCTTCACATATTCGGCGGCAGGGCAAGCGGTTTGTGTTCTTCACCAAGGACGATGGCCGCGTGGAGATGCAACCGTTCCTCAGATGAGGCCTCCTGCCTAACACGCAAATTGATCCTCTTCTCTCTCCCTATCGTCCCCCCTCCAGATCCGGGGGCAGGGCAAGCGGTTTGTGTTCTTCACCAAGGACGATGGCCGCGTGGAGATGCAACCGTTCCTCAGATGAGGCCTCCTGCCTAACACGCAAATTGATCCTCTTCTCTCTCCCTATCGTCCCCCCTCCAGATCCGGCGCCAGGGCAAGCGGTTTGTGTTCTTCACCAAGGACGATGGCCGCGTGGAGATGCACCCTTCCTCAGTCAACGCCTTCTGCCCTTCCTTCTCCCGCCCGTGGCTCGTCTACAACGAGAAGGTCAAGACCTCAGACATCTTCCTCAGGTTAGCAACAGTTGAATGCGATTCAATTAGTTGCCAGTGACGCATTATATCGATTTTTAGCTATCTCCCCTTCCTTCTCCCGCCCCTGGCTCGTCTACAACGAGAAGGTCAAGACTTCTGACATCTTCCTCAGGTTGGTACTGCTTGGATGGTTTTTATGCGGTGTAGTGCGGTTCATGGTGATTCACGGCGATTCAGTGTGGTTCATTGCGGTACATAGGGTTATGCAGTGATGCGTTGAGATCATTGCCTTCTGCCCTTCCTTCTCCCGCCCCTGGCTCGTTTACAATGAGTAGGTCAAGAAGACCTCCGACATTTTCCACAGGTTGGTGCCGGTTAAATGCGGTTCAGTGGTTACCAGTGATGCATTAAGGAAAACTCCTTCCGCCCCGCTTTCCTTTCCACAAGCAGCCGTCATTTCGTCTTCTCTCCATCCTCCCTCCACCCACCCCTCCAACCCTCCCCTCTCAGGGACTCCACCCTGGTCTCTGATTTCGCTCTCCTCATGTTCCGAGGCAACCCTGAGCCCGCTCTGGCTGGCACCCCTCTCCACCCCTCCCAGGAACTCCGCCATGGTGTCGGTGTCACCTTATTTCCAACAGTCTGATTTCGCTCTCCTCATGTTCCAAGGCAACCCCAAGCCACTTGAAGTTTCCGCAAGCGCCGCATTTCACTCACCCACCCCTCCCACCCCTCCCATTCCTCCAACCCTCCCCTCACAGGGATTCCACCATGGTGTCTGATTTCGCCCTCGCGTTCCCAGGCAACCTCGAGTCTATTTTTTAGGCGCCTCAAAAATAGACTTTCGCCCTCCTCACATTCCCAGGCAACAACCTCAAGCTCGCCCCTGCTGGGACGTCCCTTTCACAGTCCCTGCCTCACTCCATCCTTCTCTACCCCTCCCTCCTCCCAACTCCCAAGGACTCCACCCACCATGGTGTCTGTCTGCTTTCGCATTGCTCAAGTTTGGAGGGAACCTAAAGTCACTTGAAGGGACGGACTGGAATCCTTTCCAAGCACCATGCATGAATGATGAATCCACCCATCCCTACACCCCTCCATCCACCCCCCCTCCCTCCCCTCCCAGGCACTCCACCATGGTCTCTGATTTCGCCCTCCTCATGTTCGGAGGCAACCTTGAGCCTGCCCCTGCTGGGACCCTCCTGGCTCAAGGGATAAGACTTACTGTGCTCCATCCTTCTCCACCCCTCTCCACCCCTCCCAGGGACTCCACCATGGTATCTGATTTCGCTCTCCTCATGTTCGGAGGGAACTTAGAGCCCGCCCCTGCTGGCTCAAGGGACACTTACCGTGCTCCACCCCTCTCCACCCCTTTCCACCCCTCTCAACCCCTCCCCAGCCCTCTCCACCCCGCCCAGGGACTCCACCATGGTCTCTGATTTCGCCCTCCTCATGTTCCGAGGGAACCTAGAGCCCGGCCCGGCTGGCACAACTCAAGGGATACTTACCGTGCTCCACCCCTCCCCACCGCTCCCCACCCCTCTCCCAGGGACTCCACCATGGTATTTGATTTCGCCCTCCTCATGTTCGGAGGCAACCTTGAGCCTGCCCCTGCTGGGACCCTCCTGGCTCAAGGGATACTACTTACTGTGCTCCACCCCTCTCCACCCCTCTCTACCCCGCCCAGGGATTCCACCATGGTCTCTGATTTCGCGCTCCTCATGTTCTGGCCAACCTCGAGCCCGCCCCTGTTGGAACCCGGCTCAAGGGATACTTACCGTGCTCCACCCCTCCCCACCCCTCTCAGGGACTCCACCATGGTCTCTGATTTCGCGCTCCTCATGTTCGGAGGCAACCTCGAGCCCGCCCCGGCCGGCCGCACGGGGTTTGACATGCTGGGGGGTTACCTGCACTTCGGTGCTTCTGCTCAGACGGCGAAAATGGTGCTGGTGAGAGACTTGATAGAAGTGGGAATTCGCATGCAGGCACACACACTTTGGCCCCTGCAGCTGGCCGCACGGGTTTTGACATGCTGGGAGGATACCTGCACTTCGGTGCTTCTGCTCAGACGGCGAAAATGGTGCAGGTGAGAGACTTGATAGAGGTGGGAATTCGCATGCAGGCACACACACTTTGGCCCCTGCAGCTGGCCGCACGGGTTTTGACATGCTGGGAGGATACCTGCACTTCGGTGCTTCTGCTCAGACGGCGAAAATGGTGCTGGTGAGAGACTTGATAGAAGTGGGAATTCGCATGCAGGCACACACACTTTGGCCCCTGCAGCTGGCCGCACGGGTTTTGACATGCTGGGAGGATACCTGCACTTCGGTGCTTCTGCTCAGACGGCGAAAATGGTGCTGGTGAGAGACTTGATAGAAGTGGGAATTCGCATGCAGGCACACACACTTTGGCCCCTGCAGCTGGCCGCACGGGTTTTGACATGCTGGGAGGATACCTGCACTTCGGTGCTTCTGCTCAGACGGCGAAAATGGTGCAGGTGAGAGACTTGATAGAGGTGGGAATTCGCATGCAGGCACACACACTTTGGCCCCTGCAGCTGGCCGCACGGGTTTTGACATGCTGGGAGGATACCTGCACTTCGGTGCTTCTGCTCAGACGGCGAAAATGGTGCAGGTGAGAGACTTGATAGAAGTGGGAATTCGCATGCAGGCACACACACTTTGGCCCCTGCAGCTGGCCGCACGGGTTTTGACATGCTGGGAGGATACCTGCACTTCGGTGCTTCTGCTCAGACGGCAAAAATGGTGCAGGTGAGAGACTTGATAGAAGTGGGAATTCGCATGCAGGCACACACACTTTGGCCCCTGCAGCTGGCCGCACGGGTTTTGACATGCTGGGAGGATACCTGCACTTCGGTGCTTCTGCTCAGACGGCGAAAATGGTGCTGGTGAGAGACTTGATAGAAGTGGGAATTCGCATGCAGGCACACACACTTTGGCCCCTGCAGCTGGCCGCACGGGTTTTGACATGCTGGGAGGATACCTGCACTTCGGTGCTTCTGCTCAGACGGCGAAAATGGTGCAGGTGAGAGACTTGATAGAGGTGGGAATTCGCATGCAGGCACACACACTTTGGCCCCTGCAGCTGGCCGCACGGGTTTTGACATGCTGGGAGGATACCTGCACTTCGGTGCTTCTGCTCAGACGGCGAAAATGGTGCAGGTGAGAGACTTGATAGAAGTGGGAATTCGCATGCAGGCACACACACTTTGGCCCCTGCAGCTGGCCGCACGGGTTTTGACATGCTGGGAGGATACCTGCACTTCGGTGCTTCTGCTCAGACGGCAAAAATGGTGCAGGTGAGGATTCGGGCATGCAAGCACAAGCTGTGAGTGCGGTACACTTTCACACGGTGACCCCGGCTGGCCGCACGGGCTTTGACATGCTGGGAGGATACCTGCACTTCGGTGCCTCTGCTCAGACGGCAAAGATGGTGCAGGTGAGCATGCAGGCATGCAGGCACAATCTGTGAGCCACACGCACTTTGGCCCCTGCCGGCGCACTGGCTTTGACATGCTTGGGGGGGTACCTGCACTTCGGTGCTTCTGCTCAGACCGCAAAAATGGTTCAGGTGGGAACTGGTGCAGGTAAAATTCGGAGCAGGTCAGAGGCAAAGTGGTTTGGTTTTAACTTTCGGCTCGAAGTTGGATTGCTTCAGCTGAAAGTGGGATGGCTTCAGGTTTCCCCATCCATTGTACTCCCTCCCTCCTGTCCTGTCCTGTCACCCACTCTTCCAGGACCTGAGGCAGCAGTTGGATTCATTGCTGAGGGAGAAGATCGAGAACCCATCTCTGGACGTGCATGCACAGGGGGAGAGGGTTGTGGCAGCAGTCCGCAGCCTCCTCTCCTCCCATTTCGCTCACATCTTTTCCCTCATCCCTCCCCGCCCTCTCCCAGGACCTGCGGCAGCAGCTGGATTCGCTACTCAGAGAGAAGAAAGAGAACCCATCCTTGGACGTGCATGCACAGGGGGAGAGGGTCGTAGCAGCAGCAGTGGTTGCAGCGGTGCGCAGTCTCCTGGGAAGGTTTCTTAGCCAAGCCTGTTCTGCCCATCTGTTCCCCCCATCCCTCTCCCCACCCCCTCTCTCCCAGGACCTGAGGCAGCAGCTGGATTCGTTACTTAGGGAGAAGATCGAGAACCCATCTCTGGACGTGCATGCACAGGGGGGGAGGGTTGTGGCAGCAGTGCGCAGCCTCTCATGCCTTCATCTTAGCCCATTCTGCCCCTCATATTCCCACATACCTCTCCCTTCCTACTATGCAGGACCTGCGGCAGCAGCTGGATTCTCTACTCAGAGAGAAGATCGAGAACCCATCCCTGGACGTGCATGCACAGGGGGAGAGGGTCGTAGCAGCAGTGCGCAGCCTCCTCTCCTCACCCCACGCGGATTCGCTCCCCCCTGGGGAGTCTGGAGGTGGGGGAGGAGGGGCTAGGGGCGGTGGGAGAGGAGGGGGGAGGCATGGGCACGGGCATGGACATGGGCGTGGGCATGGGCATGGACACAGGGGGAGAGGGGGCAGGCACTAATAAGAAATTGTACCATATGCGGGATGCAAGCATTCCATGTTCATGCATGCGAAATGCATGCACAGGGGAAGGGAAAGAGGATGGTGGCAACAGCTTGCGGCAGTTTTCTGTCTTAGAGAACGAACAATTATAAAATGATATAACTAAGATATACATAGCAGATCATCCAAACTTAACAGCCATTTTTTGACTGCGGCACACGTTTGCAGCTCTATATTCTTTGTACAATGCTGGGTACTTTCATCCAACTACCTAGCCTTGTGCTCTAATGTTTCTTAGGTGAATCGTCGAAATTGTTTTCAGCACAAGAGTGTCGGTTATCCTGGTATCTTAACGAATTGCATCATAACGAAAAAACGGCTCTTTCATTCCAGCATGCTACGCTCTCCAAGCAAAGCCTTTCCCTTCCCTCCCAGGCTGATCTTGCCTGGCCAGGCACCCTTCCAACAGTGACTCCTGCACCTTTTCTTCTCGTTGAACAGTTTATAACCATGGCGTCTGCCATTTCTCCATGCCTTCTCTCAGGCCGATCTCTAGTGCCAGCGCATCGTGTTCGCTATGGCGCGCCGCTCTCGGCGCCTAGAGATTTCCGTTTCACGGAGCAACGCAGGTTCGCAGACTTCTCCGTGCACGCGAAAAAGAAGAAGTCCAAAGCTCCTGTAGAAGAGCCGGTAGTAGAAGAGGAGGTAGTTGAAGAGGAAATTATTGAGGAAGAAGAGGAACCGTCTTGGGTCTCTGAGAGGGTTACAGATGTCCAGCAGACCGTTCAGTCAGTAATGCAGGCAGTCCCCGGTCCACGAGTAGGCGAGTCGAATATGCCATGGCTCATCGCCGTTCCGTTAGGCTACATGGCTCTGACTTTCGTTCTTGCAGTGTATAAAACTGTGAAAATGCGAAGCACTCCCAAGGCTAAGCGCAGACGACAGGTGCGAGAACTGAGCCTTTTCCGTCAGGATGATCGTGTTTCGTATGGGCTTTTGAAAGATGCACGAACTTCGTGAGTTCCTCACTTACCATCGTGTACGAATACGGCAGATCGGGAAGAATGCTGGCCTCAACCAGAGCATTGACGAGTTTTTGCCCGACAATAAGGACGCTCTGACTTCCAAGGAGCTCAAGTCGCTCGAGAAAAAGGTACCTCCTGTCCGCATGATTCAGTTCAGCAGTCGTTCTTTTGTCTTGTAAGGACTTCTCCTGACGTTCTCCCTTTTCTGCAGTTCAACTTCAGCTCGGATGAGATTCTTCGCAAGTACATCCGTTACGTGATCAATGAAAAGCCCTTTACCCCGGAGACGGTTTCCGGCCTGATTCACCTTCGGAAAGTGTCTGGTCTTGATGACCTTGGGATTGCCGAGGTGCTCAACGAGATCTCTCGGAGAATCGTGAAAGCCAAAGGTAGTACACGCATTTTATGTGTCTTATCCCCTAATTTTGATCGTTATGTGCCAGCGAATGCTCACAGAACCCCTGCCCTACCTCAACCTCGGATGCAGGTCCTGTTGTGATGGATACAACTGGTTTCACTGAGAAGGGAGTGCAGAGGAAGGCAGCAGTACAGGGGATATTCACAAAGCTCCTCTACTTGTCTGAGGTGCGTAGTGTTCTTGCATGAAACTGTGCTGCCATCACAATACAGGAATTAACGTTTGTGTGTTACTGATGCAGCTGGATGATTTCTGTGGGCCATCGGGGCGTGAGAAGCTTGAAATCAAAATCATATTTGGAGTTACAGAGTGAGTATTGTTGGCCCGCTCCCTTTGTTGCTCCCTATGTTTTCCTTTAGCCCACCTCCCTGTTTGTTTCCCATTCACCTTTTGTTGTTGGCTGGCACTAACTTTTCTTTGCTCCTGCAGCGAGGATGCTTCGTTGATCAAGATTGTAAGTTTGTCTTCATCAGCTGACATGGATGCACTGGACAAATCATTAAACGCTGGAGACTCATCAGACTCTGAAGCAGATGAATGAACAATGACCCTTGTGATCACACGCTCACATTGTAGTTATAGTGATAGTGATCTGTGAAGCTTTCTAGTACTGCATTAACAGTTTCAGTTGCAACTTCTTGAACCATAGGTTCTGAAGTTTTAGTCCCGGTAGGCTGGAGCACATTCTGCATTGGCAGATTTTTGTTAGTGTTACGAGTGCAATTGAGTGAACTAACGAGAATTGCAATATCGAAGCAAGAATACAAATGAGCGAAGGCATGAGCGAACTTTATATAGCGAAACTACAGTGGTAACGGTAATGGTCGCGCGACGAGCCTGGGACTGAGGTTGGGAAAATGTCGAAGCGTAGGCCCGGAGCGCGGGTTACCAGCCGAGCCGTGAGGTCGGGATGCGATGTGCGAAAAGGGCGGGATGATGAATGATGCGATGGTCGCGAGTGGTAACGGTGCTGACTGACTGAGGTGCTACAGTGGTGTACGCGTTGAGCAGGGACGCGAAGTAAGGAAAAGGGAATTGAGAAAGCTTGCTTTCTGTTCTTGCAAAGGCAACGGGCTTCATTACAATTGCAGTAATACAACATTCTCGTCCAACTATGGATGGATTATACAGATATACGTACAACTAGGGTGGGTGGGTGGGGAGTGGAACTGCAAAGTTCCGAAATGAAGTCGTGGGTGGAGGCCGAATGGCCTCCAACTCTCGTTATGTACTCGGCGAATTGTAATTCGCCGTTGCTTTGCTTCGTGACAGTCAGGTGCGCTTTCAAAATACGCATTTTTAGAAAGTGTTACACACTTTCGAAAAATCTCATATTTCCTTACACTACCCCCCCTCCTAAGGAGGTCCTCCTTATGAAAGCGCGTGGATGTCTCGGAAATTGCGGCTACGCAGGTAGTCGGTGACGACGGGGTGATTTTCAACTTTCTCCAGGGGAACCCAATTGTCCTCGGTGGGGGTACGATCTTTCCAGCGGATCAGAAACTCCACTTTTCGGGCTCCTCGAGGGTCGCGAACTCTGTGGCTCAGGATCTTGTCAGGGGTGATGACTGGTTCGGTTGGTGGTCGTGTCATGCTGGTGGGTCGATGTCGTGGGAGTTGGCTGGTGGATGGCACGTAAGGGCGAAGTAAGCTGACGTGGAACGAGGGGCTGACGTACCAGTCAGCAGGGAGGAGGAGGTGCGCGGTGACTGGCGTAACCATGTGACTTATTCGAAATGGCCCACAGTATCGAGGGCGGAGTTTTGGAGTGATGGGCAGGCGGAGGTTCTGAGTGTCGAGTAAAACGAGGTCGTCGGGCTGATAAGTAACGGGTCTGCGATGGCGATCGGCGTTGCGTTTAGCGATGATGTTTGATTTTTTTATTGCTTCTGCTGCCCTGGTCCGTGCTGCTTGCAGAATCTCGGCGAACTGTTGTGCTCGTGGGACGGGGTTGTCGGGATTCGGTGTCATGGGTACTGTTGGGTCCTGTCCGTAATTCAAGTAAAACGGCGACTGTTGCGTCGTGGCTGATGGCGCGTTATTGTATGCGAACTCGATGAGTGGCAGCTGCTGTTCCCACGTATTCGGATCGTCGCACGTGGCTCGAATCAGCTGCTCCATGGTCTGATTTGTCCGTTCCGTCTGTCCGTCGGTTTCGGGGTGATAGGATGAACTGAACTGTAAGCGCGTGCCGAACTGCTGCCACAGGTTCCGCCAGAAGTTGCTTGTAAATTTCGTGTCTCTGTCGATGATGATCGATGCGGGTATCCCGTGCAGTCGAACGACGGTGGTGATGAAGAGTCGGGCGGTTTCCTCGGCTGTGATTGATTTCCTGCATGCTGCGAAATGAGCCATCTTCGTTAGTCGATCGACGACGACCAGGATCGCGTCATTCCCACTCGCCCCAGCTGGTAACCCCGTGACGAAATCCATCGTCACCTGCTGCCAAGCACGCTCTGGGGGCGGGATGGGTTGCAATTGTCCCGCCGGCCGCTTCCTGCTTGACTTCATGAGCTGGCAAGTGGGACACGATGCCATGTGTCGTTGCACATCGGTCAACATTTCTGGCCAGTAGTAGTACCGCTGCAGCTGCTGCCGTGTTTTTTCTACCCCGAAATGTCCCGAGGTAACTCCGTCGTGTGCTTCCTGTAACAGTAGTTCCCGCAGTAGCGTGTATCCTGGTACCCAGATGCGGTCGGTTCCAGCTTTTACGTAATAGACTCCTTTTGCCGCTGCGAATTGCTGTGAGTTGCCTCCTGTAAAGAACGGGTCTGTTTGATATCCGTGGGTAAATAGGCCTGTCAGTAGCGGGCTGGTCTGGGCGAGTAGTATCGCGTGGATCTGGGCAGTGGGGCGGGTCAGTGCGTCGGCGATATTCGAGGCTCCTTTTTTGTATGTGACCGTATAGTGAAAATTCGACTCGAGGAAATCGAGCCATCGAATCTGACGTGGGTTGAGGTGGGGCTGTGCGCGGAGGTACTGTAGAGATCGATGGTCTGTCCGTACTGTCACGTCTGCGCCGGTCAAGTAGCAGCGCCATACTTTGAATGCGTGCACGATCGCGAGCATTTCGCGGTCGTGTATCGGGTAATTTCGCTCAGGCGGATGTAGTTTGCGTGATTCATAGGCGATGGGTTGGAGGCCGTTGCCGAAGTCCTGTAACAGTACAGCTCCGATGGCGATGTCACTTGCGTCGGTAACCACTTCGAACGGGCGGTGGGGATCAGCGATGCGTAGAACGGGTGGTGAACAGAGAACGTTTTTCAGGGCAGAGAAGGCAGCATGCTCTTTCTCTCCCCACGTAAAAGCGACCCCCGTACGCAGTAAATCAGTGAGTGGGGCTGTTACACGTGCCATGTCGGGCACGAACCGTCGAACGTAATTAACAAAACCTCAAAAACTCTGCAGTTCCGTGATGTTCGTCGGGGGGCGCCACGCTTTTACTGTATCCAGCTTCTTTGGGTCAATCTCAACCCCAGCCTCCGAAATGACGTGACCCAAAAACTCTAGCCTGTCCCGAAAAAACTCGCACTTGGAGCCCTTGGTGAGTAGCCGATGTTCCTCCAAAACCCTAAAAACTGCTTCAAGATCCACTAAGTGCTGCTGCTTATCCCGGCTGTAAACTAGAATATCGTCCCGGTAAACTATCACACATTTATCTAAAAGTGGTCTAAACGCCTCGTTCATGGTCATCTGAAATGTCGTAGGCGCGTTCGTCAGCCCGAATGGCATTACTGTATACTCGAATGACCCGTACCTAGTCCTAAATGCTGTTTTGGCGCAGTCCGATGGTTCGACCCGAATCTGGTGGTAACCTCCCCGTAAATCTATTTTCGAAAAGACTCGTGCTGTTCGCAGTTGGTCGATCAGTTCGTCGGCGCGGGGGATGGGGTATCGCGATTTGACTGTTACTCTGTTAAGCGCTCGGTAGTCGATGCACATGCGTGTCGGAACATATAGCTTACTTGTTTCTGTAGGCTATAGTGGGGTATCCCATAAGGGGTACAACCCAATTAGGGTTTCCTATTTGTACTCACTTCATTCATAGTTCATTCATTCTCGTTCACTTCTTCTCATGGTATCAGAGCAGGTTCCCCTGTGGGAACTGTTCGTAGGGCCCACCACCGCTACCGCTTAACTTTTTTTCTGCCCGGAGCGCGCTCCGGGCCCTCGTACTTCCTTTTTTTTTTATCTGCCCTAGTGCTCTGACGGCCGCCCGCCCTAGCGCCCGAGCGCCGCCCGCCCTAGCGCCCTGACGGCCGCCCGCCCTAGCGCCCGAGCGCCGCCCGCCCTAGCGCCCTGACGGCCGCCCGCCCTAGCGCCCTGACGGCCGCCCGCCCTATCGCCCGAGCGCCGCCCGCCCTAGCGCCCGAGCGCCGCCCGCCCTAGCGCCCGAGCGCCGCCCGCCCTAGCGCCCGAGCGCCGCCCGCCCTAGCGCCCTGACGGCCGCCCGCCCTAGCGCCCGTGCGCCACTCGCCCTAGCGCCCTGACGGCCGCCCGCCCTAGAGCCCTGTCGGCCGCCCGCCCTAGCACCCGAGCGCCGCCCGCCCTAGCGCCCGAGCGCAGCCCGCCCTAGCGCCCTGACGGCCGCCCGCCCTAACGCCTGAGCGCCGCCCGTCGTCGCCCCAGCGCCCTAGCGCCCGACGCCCGCGAGCCGCCCGTCGCCGAGCCTCCCGTGCACCCGCCGTCCCTGAGCCGCCCGCGCCGCCGTCCCTGAGCCGCCCGCGAGCCGCCAGCGAGCCGCCCGTCGCGACGCCCGCGCCGCACGAGCCGCCCGTACAGCCGAGCCGCCCGAGCCGCCCGCGCCGCCCCAGCAACCCGAGCCGCCCGAGCCGCCCGAGCCGCCCGAGCCGCCCGCGCCGCCCCAGCAACCCGAGCCGCCCGGGCAACCTGAGGAGCCGAGCTCCTGCTCCTGCGTGGCTGCTGCTGCTCCGAGGCGTGCGCAGCTGCTGTTCTGCCGAGTTGCTGAGCCGCTGTGCTACCCGACTCTTCGTGCCCGGTGAGACCATCAGCTGCTGCAATGGCCACCCCCAGTGTCCTGTCTTTTGACGCTGAGGGTCGCGCCATTGACTTTCCAGTCTGGATTGAGGACCTGCAGCTGTACTTACTGTGCGATGCGATCGATGAGGTTTCTCTCTTTGACTTTGTCTCTGGAGCCGTCCCTGCCCCTCCTGCTGATGCTGACCCT